TTACACGATTTAACCACTAGAGGGCAGCAGTGTTAAATCATTTAATGAATCGTAAACATTACACGATTTAACCACTAGAGGGCAGCAGTGTTAAATCATTTAATGAATCGTAAACATTACACGATTTAACCACTAGAGGGCAGCAGTGTTAAATCATTTAATGAATCGTAAACATTACACGATTTAACCACTAGAGGGCAGCAGTGTTAAATCATTTAATGAATCGTAAACATTACACGATTTAACCACTAGAGGGCAGCAGTGTTACATAATTTAATGAATCATAAACATTACACGATTTAACCACTAGAGGGCAGCAGTGTTACATCATTTAATGTCTCAATGTGTGCGCAAGTACAATCCTGACTTTCTTAACACTTTCAGTGTGTGGAATGTGGGCTAATGCTGTCAAATGAAGCACTGAAGCCTTCAAAAATAAAGCGACACCTAGCGACGAAACATCCAACGCTCGTGGGAAAGCCTGTTGGGCTTCTTGTTGTGTATGCAGGTTTACATACACATGATAAATAAATGTCTTTGTGATCATCACATTGTATCATCTCATTTATTTGACAAGGGTTTTGCCTGTTCGACTCCGCGAGGACGCCGGCGTCCTCGATCCCCTCCCCTTCCGTTCTTCCGTTCCTACGGCTTGCTTGCGCAAACTACGTCACAAAACATGGCCGTGTTTGGTATCCCAGCATGCCCAAAACCCTCATCTTTGCAAAGAAATCATCGATTTTCTTTCATTTCTTATGGATTTTTCACAAAAGGAGCCCAAACACACACTGTCCAAAGTCGCCATAACCGCTGCAAGTCGGATCTTGCAGCATTTTGACGGAAAAAGACACATTACAGACCCAACAATGTGCTAGCTGATGTTACCATGGAGCTAGTAGCTTCAGAAAACGCTAGTACTTAAAGTACAAACCTTATTTTCCTCTTCTATAAGCCGTCAACCAACGTATAACCTTGCGTAACTGAGCTTCGATCGTGCGCTCAGTCGCAGCCATTACGCACAATAAGTCCGCTACTTACATACCACGTCTTCGACCATATATATATATCCTTTGCAATTTGGAAAGGCTAAAAATAAAAGGAAAATAATATAATATCAAAATATAAAGGGAGAAACACCTTTAGTGTGTCAGAATATCATTTGGTTACCATGTGTCCATTTGGGTCTCCAAATATCCTTTTAGAGCTCCGCCTGGATCTCTTCATGGAAGAAACACTGTAGAATCGTCATACTTTGTCCAATCTTCTTCAAATTTGAGGCAGTTGTTCACTGATAGTGTAGTTACAGCCCTATACTGTCATTTACCTGTACAGATACAGCCACAGGCAGTTATTTATACTGAAAGATACTTTTTTATTTTATGCGGACAAAATCTTAAATTTTTACTGACTCCAAAGGCCCACTGCTCTGTTTCTATATGTCCTACAGGTTTTCTGACACTTTTGATGCATATAGTCACAGTGGTTCAGAAGCTACAGCCATTTTAATTTGGGTATGTCATTTTAGGCGGTTTTGCTCCAAAATAGGGGTGGAATTGAACAGGTAACAATATAGTTATTGAATACAAATCAAACCAAGAGTGAGATCAATTAATTAAACTAATAGTGTTAATATTTGAATGGGCCCCGGGACACTTTGTACTTGAAAAGTTGGGCCCCGAGGTCAAAAAGGTTAAGAACCCCTGGACTAGAACATGATGATATTGCCACACCATTTTAATAGTTTTATTATGTGACAAGATAAAAAAAATGTCTTAACAAAGTTTTTAATTTTTTTGGGGGTGGATTTTTTTCTTCTTTTTTTTGCTTGCGTAAATGGGCTTCCATAGTTTAAAGATGCGAGAGACTAAACAAAAGTATACTGTAACATGACAGTGGATATGCATTTGTATGTATTTTGTTTACACCACCAGATGTCAGCGTCGAGCCACGGTGCCTTCAACGCCACCGTGTTTCACCCTTCACCACGGGGGTTCACACAGTGAAGCCAATACGGAAGTGTCTTAAAACTTGCATTATCTCTACTGACCAGCAGGGGCGACTCCTCCGCTACAAAAAGTAGTCCGATAGTATGGAAGTCTATGAGTAAATTACTCTACTTCTCACTTGATTTATTCCCTCAGTAAACATGAAACTTGAGTATATAGTATCAACCATTAGTTTAAAGTCTTCTTCAATACAGCATGAAGTTTATTTAGTAAATTATGGCCCCTTTTAGAGTAAAATACACCATAAAGCGAAGTATACATTAGGGCGGGGCTACATTGTGATTGACAGGTCGCTGCCGCTACCAGAGCCGTATACGAAGTCCCTACGTCACTCCTCCACGTTACAACTGTGGTAACTTCTGTTCACTGGTTTCGAAAAAAACAATATGGCGAAGGGCCGTATTCCAAGATGGCGACGGCGATATCGCCTAACCCGAGACTTCACAACGGCAGTCCACCAAATCAATGGGTGACGTCACGATGACTACGTCCACCTCTCACATACAAGTTTCGCTGAACGGAGTGCTGACGTCACGTGTCAACACCATGCAAAAAAAAGGTCTCCGTCCTGGCCAATCAGCGCAGAGTCCCACCGACTCTTGTAAAGATGGCGACGGTGAGCAACAGAGGAGTGAAAGCTGGACGCTTTACCGTTACTAAACACCGCTGGTTCCGACAACGTACGGATTGACACAGCAAGTGGGAGCGAGAGTGAATCGACCCGTTTGTCAGCAGCTGTGAGCTGATCGGTGCTGCGGGCTTGTCGCTGCGGGCCTGGTTGCTTTTGCTTTCGGGTTAGACTGTCGGATAGCTCATTAGCTTCAACTTGGAAAGCGAAGGCTAGCACAGTGGGGCTAGCTGTGTAGCTCCATCGGCTGCTGGGGACTCTGTACGGCATTCATGGATTTATAGCCCGACTCTTGAGAACACTGGACTGCATGTGCATATGTAGAGTTTCTTTTTTTACAAAAACAACACCGATGACTCGTTTGGATTAAAAAACACTTACGGGGCACCGTCGATCTGGCACATTGCGACACTGCCTGTTGTGCGAAGTGACTTTGTGCCGTCATGTATTTTCTAACCGGCTGGCCCCGGCGGCTGCTTTGTCCGCTGAGGAGTGAAGAGGAGCCGTTCCACATCCAGCCCAGCTCCCAGAGGTTCTACTTCGGCGTGCTGTCAGAGACGCAGCTCAGCATCTGGTTTAGTAGGGTAAGTGTATTAGTCAACCAGCTGTGACTCGGAACCCAGCTGTCCCAACAAAAACAACTTTCATTTTAGCTAACTTCAGTATGGTGCGCAGCTTACCCCCGCTTCTTCAGCTACAACCACCATCATTTTATAATCAAACAGTTACTGCTTGTCAATCTGTCTGTCTGCCCTTAATACATTTTTTTATAGGATAGTAAATAAACATGCAGAATAGCATTGGTGTCAATAGTGATGAGCAACCTGGAGGTTCCAACCACACGCCTTTTAAATTACATAGTGACATTAATAAACATCTTAAGAGTTTGTGTAACGTTATATCCGTATACGTGTGCCTTTCTCAAAGGCATAGTTGCATATTTAATAGGGTTTTACGTGCGTTGTCCCTCCCTTTTACTCCCTCATTCATGACAAAGGCTCGGTGATGTTTCATCCTCTCACCTGATGAGCGCTTATCAGCCAGAGGGAACGTGTAAACTGGAGTTTCTCGGGTACATTCAGTACTTAAATTTCTATTTTTATCACCCTGCCTCAGAAGAATAGTTCAAAGTTTAAGCTATTATCACCAATAGTGAGGAAAACAAACACTGACTGGACACGTGTTGTGGTATGTTCTGCCTGGCAGCCAAGATATTGTAAGGCTGCCAGAGTTATTAAATGATTATGTAAACAATTCGATGGTGACAGCATGTGTACGGATGGGTTGTATTTTCTCTACAAGGCCACAATGTGGACTCTCTCTTACTATGACGGTCTAAGATATCTATTTACAGCTAGTCTTCAGCCAGTGTGATTTAAATCATGACTTCAGCAAAAAGGCTTTTGTGGTGAAACTGCTTCTCTTAATAAATAAAGCACTCATGTCCAAAATAGCTGGCTGAATTGAGTCCAATATTTGTCCAAAAGTTGCTGATCTAGAGATCTGTGTTGTCAGGTGCCGAGGTAATGTCATAGACCCGTCATCTGTGTAAACTTATCAGAATCGTTGTCTGTCTTGGGAGGGAAAACTACAAAAATCAATAACAATAATGTCAATCAGTGGTCTGTGAAAAACATGATTGCTCTACTGGCTATCTATTTCTAGAGAGAGAGAGGAAGAAATAATGAATATTTCTGCATTCTGGAAGGTCATAAGGGAGAAAACAATGATTTCCAGAACAAAAGAAAGAATCATCGAGTTGACATAAACTTTAAAAAAGATAGCGCAGTGACTACAAACAATCAGAAAATGATTTTGACTTCTTGTACTCAGTCCGAGGATCTAGACTGTCAACTGACACAGCTTTAAAGCGATGTGTGAGACAGTGGCAGCTACAACAGATATCTTTTTTTTTTTTTTCAGCATTTATTAATTTGCTCAAAAGCTATTTTAACTTCACAACAAATAATATTGTCTAACAACCACGTTAAATCAACATTTGACTTGACAACATGGAGTTCAGCACATTGTTTACAGTAGTCTGTGTCTCACGCAGCTTGTATATTATTGAAGGTGTAGCAACAATGGATCAGGGTATATTTCCTGAGGCCCACACAGGATGTGACCATGTTTTCCGTCTCCTCTGTCTTAAGAACTTTGCCTGTTTGAGTATCAATGAGGTGTTCAGGAAAAGGATGGTGTAAGGAATGTCCATTAGGGATAGACAGGCACCTTTCACATCTGTTCTTGCCATTTCAGTGCATGATCGAGGGTGTTGCGGAGGGTTTTTGTTTGAGTAATATATTTTATATTTCTTAAAGAAAATACACATATGACAAGCCTGACCGTGTATCAATACAATATTAAAAGTGTGATATGAAATGGATATAGTGTGAGTTATGGGTTATTGTAATCCAGATGTTTTAATCATTCTAAAAGTAAAGAAAATGATATTTCTGTCTGTCGTGCTTATCATAGCTTGCCTTAGTGTATTAGTATAGATATTTTTCTGCTTTTTTCATTGCATTCCCATGCTCGGGTTCTTTAGTGAGTCTGCCATTTCCCCTCTCAGGTTTCTTGCCCCCTGTTGTTCTCCGCCATCATTTTGCCATTTTGTCTATTTCCTTTAATCCCATTTCTCCTCGACCTCGGCCAGCGCAGCCTGAGCCCCAGCTAGTTCAGTCGAGGCGCCGTCACTTAATCCGTGTAGCGCAGTAGCTTACAGCCTTGTAGTCGCTCTGTCGCCGGCCGTGTGGGAGCTCAGGATGTCTAGGAATAGAGGATTGTTATGCAATAGTAGCAACATAGTTGGCTCTGGGTGCCGGTGAGAATTAGCTGTGTGTACGTATGTACAGTTGCACATATTTGTGTGTGTGTGTGTGTGTAATTATTTACGCTCCCCTAGGATTTCTTCAATTGCACCAGCTGACTGCAGGGGAATGTCATCAAGCACAGGAAATGGCAATGCAGGAGAAATAAGTTAGTTTTAACCACTTCAACACAACTGCCTGCAGGGTTTGGGTGACGCAATGAGGGATTTTAACAAAGTGACACAGTGGAGGAATGTTTAGGAATAGGGCAATGATCGAAGACGCTTGGGACAAATTTGATACAGTTACCTCTTCGGTGCAGCTGCAGAGAAAGAGTTGAGTGGATTTGTAACATGTAATTATTGAATAAACGCATTATCTAAATAACGTACCTTATGTTATACCAACCAATAAAGGACATTTTATCAGATGATTTATGTAAGATTGGGATAACAGTTTCTACAGAGTTTATCAGATGTAGATGAAAACCTCAAATTCATTAATTTATCATAATTTGAACCTCATTGACATTGTTTCATTTCAAACCCAGTGCACTGTTACTTTGATAGGGTTGAACAATGTTCCCACTGTGTATGTTCGTTCCCAAATGTAATGCTACAGGCTACCTCAAGAGCGAACTTTCTTCAATTTACACCAAATGAGTTTGTTGTGATTGTTATTGTAATTTTAAAAAACGAGGAGATAGATTTCTCTCTCTGTTTCCGATGGGGCAAGCTTCACCATAGCAGGCCTCATCGGCGTTATTAAGATTTCATGCTGCGAGAGGCCTGAAATACTTAAAACCTGCTCTCTCATTACGGCGACGGGGTTCGAGGGCTTATGTTGCACAGTTGGAATTACATGAGGTCTTTCCCTGCTTATGTTACCTGAGCATTCAGTGCGTGTACTGTCCTGGTTTACCTGCAATGTCAAAGACCGGTACACGTCTGTAACATTACGTTTGAAGCGTGACTCAGTATTAATTCATCTTCCGTAATAATCTGTGCTTTTAGACCTGCTTTAAGTAAAACTATACAAGTTTATGAGCTGTAAATAATCTGCAGGGGGGTTTCCACTGGTTGTTGAATAATGCCGACGACTCAAGAAGAAGGCTTTGCCAGGTGTTTAGGTTTCTGGTGTTCAGAAGCTGACTTTGTTACCAGCGCTCCTCTTTAACAGCTGTTTTAACACCTGCTGACATGTTTTGGTTAGAACTATTACAAAGGATTACACTACTGATGGATTGAGGTCAGTCCAATAACAATTGATTATAGTTATAATTTTGGTTTTAGTTGAAATTACAGTTTAAGTCTAAAGAAAGCTGAAAAATGCCCGTCATAAAAGCTAATGTAAACCAACAGTTTCACATTTTAGAAGCTAGAACCATGAAGTCAATCTTAAGACATTTCTGGCAGTGACGGTACATATTCTGTGCATGTTTTTGTTTTTTGGTTAACATATGTGGCAGTCGGATGTCTGTGACCGTCAGTCAGTCTAAAGTGCTCATATCCCTGTTCCCCACCCACAGCCCAGTGTTTTGATAGTCAGCTATATCGAGTCTGCAAAGGCGGCGGCCCAGTTTGGCTTCTACCAGAAGGCCGAATGGAAACCAGACGACTCCATGATCGCTGTGGCGGTAAGTACAGCGCTCCACCACATCATCTCACATCTTATATTTGCAGTATCATTGACGCCCTTTGCCCCCATGTCTTATATCATGTCCTCTTAGTGCAAAGTACATCAATAACTTGTATACTTACTGCAAAAACCTACTTTCTCTCTCAGTCTCTCATCTGTCTTTTTGGTTTTCTTTCTACTTTCTGTGACAGTGGTTCCCCCTCTTATCGCTTTGTTACCACTGGGGTTCATTGCATGTGGAGTTTCAGTCAGTGGGTAAAAGATGCTTCAGTAATCGATCCCTGAGGATTAGTAGATTTTACCAGGACCCCCCTGTTATAGGAAACCACAGAAGCAGCTTCCTTGTCACTGCAGTGCATCGCAGTAGAAGGGAGCATGACAAACGCTAGAAGGAGAGAAAATGAAAGTGTGTCTGCACTTCTCTAAACAGCAGTCAAGAGTTTGTCCTATTTTTGCTGTTGTGCTGAGCTCCAGATACGAGGAAGGTATTCCTGTGGCGACGAGAGCGGACCTGAAACACGCTCCCTGAGCTCTCTACGTCAAGTTCCAAACTTCGCTTTCAATCACACAGTCTGTCCAACGCAGTGAGCAACGACGTGACATTAGTGTGTAAAGTTAGAAGCTTGAAGTGTGTACAAGAGGGAACATATGTATGATTCTTGAAGCTAGACATGCTTTTAATAACATAGCCATCACTTCAGGTGAGCATCTTGCAGAAGTCCGCATGGAGCTCCAGGCTTAATGCAGCTGGAGTAGAGCGGCCGCCAACAAAACAATTTAAGCGATTATTGCAGTATTCAGGAAGTGTAAATAACCTTCCACAGAACTGTGACAGACGAGTTAGTCGAGATGAACTGAACCTGGAGGAAGCTCAACATGCTGCCCAGAATAAGGAATGATGAGGGGCAGCCTGTTGTGTCCCACACGGGACCAATAGGATTACAGTAAGAGTAAAGGGCTCAACAGTAACATCCTGAAATCACCTGATGGCAGTAATCTGCCTGCAGGAGATACATCAACAATAAAGGTCACTGAACAAACTGACCGTAAACATTTTGAGATAATATTTGAAAGCTTCAGTTACACATTACTTCCTGTTTAAAGTCTTGTCATACTTTGTCCTGTGCTGATCAACCCAATCAAATGCTTGCACATATCAACTTGGATGTATTAACCTCTTTTGGTGTATGTATTGGTTATAATAAGGTCAGCATCAGTCACCTTTGGCTTGTGGGCAAGCTCTATATTGGGAGACGGATTACAGCAGCCTGAAAGGATCTAGCTTACCTCAGCTCTTTTGGGAGATGAAGAGGGCCTCATTTTTTGTGTGTTTTTGCAGATCAATACAAATTTACCCGAATGCTGAAACTGATGAGGGGAGAATGCACAGTCCTGTGTCAGTTTAAAGTAATGATGAAATATCTCCCCCAGGATCTTCCTTCCTGTCATTATAGCCCTGAACTCTCGAGAAGGACCCAAAAACAATATGCAAATTACCAGCCCACAAAGCTCAAAATATGTAATTCTTTAATATTCGTGCTCATTTCCATGGAGATGAAATGTTCTCGCCTCCATGTTTCTTTACGTAAGCCCACACAAGCCTACTGATGTCGGTTCACTCCGACCTCTCCTCCGAGCTGCCATTCGGATCGTCAAATCGTTTGCGGTTCAATTCCCCGACCATATCTATGGCTCATGAAAATCTAGAGCAACAAGCTTTGATAGTGTTAATCATGATTATATTTACATATGCCTGCTGTAAAAAAAAAAAAAAAAAAAAAAGGATTTTTAGCACCGCAGCAAATCAACATTTCCACGAAGCTTTGAAGCAAAAAGCACCGCTATGCAACATGTATGTTGACAGCTGCACTGGCTTTGTTGTTTCCACGATTTACAGCACAGGTTCCACCGAGGTTGAGAGAAAAATTAAGTATAATTTGCACATAATGTGTCACAAAGAGTGGCCTTGTTCTGAGAGAGAGAGAGAGAGAGAGACGGTACGTTTTCACACCCTCGGGGAGCAGAGTTTCCCTGAAAGCAGCAGAGACTGGCTTTATTTAGCCGCTCGTATTTATTTTCAGGATTGAATGTAACTCGCTCGTATCAAGTGTAATCCTTGATAACGGGCCCCGTCTGTGTTGAACTAATGTCTCAATGCACACTGTGAGCTCAGAGAGGGAGCAGACGGACACCTCATCTGCTGTGTCGAACACATGGAAGAAGCCCGAGCAGTCGTAGCAGAATCACAGTGTTTACTGTAGGATGTTCATGTACATTAACAGAAAGCTTACAAGAATACGTGTGTGTGTGTGTGTGTGTGTGTGTGTGTGTGTGTGTGTGTGTGTGTGTGTGTGTG